GGACTGATCTTAAAGACGACAATAAATATGGCCTTGTTTTAAAGATCAGAGGGACTGATCTTAAAGACGACAATAAATATAGCCTTATTGTTTTAAAGATCACAGAAACAAAGGAAATGACACTCACCTGAAATCTGTTTCGGTGGTCAGTGTTCGACGAAATGGGGATTGTAGTAGAATCAACACTCTATAACTTACAAAACTATATAGCAAGTTGCAGAAGTAAACGAAGCACTAAATAAATACACACACGGAGTAATACATAAATACACACACGGAGTAATACATAAATACACACACTAAATAATACATGAATACACTGACCTCTTAGATGGGACTGTATGAGGATTCCAAGTTTTTCTCTTCCTGAAAGTGACTGATGCAGTGTTTGTGTTAATTCCAGTCCAGCAGATAAAATTCACTGTCAGTAATTCGTGAGTCTTTTTTACCTCTCTCTCTCTTTATCTTGTACAGACACGGAGTGGAACTGTAAATCGTTTTATTCTGCTGGAGACTGCAGGTGTCTTTAACCGTTTAGAAACTTTTTAGGCCTTGTAGGTAACTGTTATATCTTTACTCGTTTAGGCACCGGTTCACGAAACGTTTTGAATTGAAACGGCTATCACCAGAATTATCACAACTTTAATCACGTTGGTTCTAAACAACATTCTGACAACAACTCTCTCGTTAAAATGCTTCTGTAAAGAGAAATATATACATCTGTTTAACGCTTTTGAATTTGTACTATCTTTACCGATTACACTCGTGAAGTTCCCGTAGTTACAGTACGTATCTCTTGAGGCACGTGCTGCCGCTTGTGTCGGCGTGTTAACAACGTTTGTTTTCTGAACTCTCAAATTGTTCTTAAGTTACTCGCTTTTACGGGCTAAGAACGAGAGGAGACTAGGTTTCCCTCGGCCAATCATAAACGTTACTCTGCTAACGTAATTCAGTCGCGTTGCTAGGAAGTTAAACAACAGTAAAAGCAAATGTTGTAAAAATACGTCTAATTTATTTTCATGATAGCATTGTTAAAAGGTAATAATGTTTCAACTTATAATCAACAATGTTCACCCTGTGATTAAATAAACACCATATAAATTTTAGGCCTGACTAAAAGATGTGTCAACTTTTATTTTGTTCCGAGGATGTTAATAAACGAAAATCGCCATTATATATAATAGCACTGTCTCAGGTATTTATATGTTATTTAAAAGATGTATATATATATACAGTAGATTTTAGTTTATTTGTTTGTGTTGAATTTCGCGCAAAGCTACACGAGGGCTATTTGCGCTAGCCGTCCCTAATTTAGCTGTGTAAGACTAGAGGGAAGGCAGCTAGTCATCACCACCCACCGCCAACTCTTGGGCTACTCTTTGATCAACGAATAGTGGGATTGACTGTCACATTATAACACCCCCACGGCCGAAAGGGCGAGCATGTTTCGTGGGACGGGGATTCGAACCCGCAACCCTCAGATTGCTAGTCAAGCGCCCGAACCACCTGACCATGCCGGGCCAAAACACAGTTTAAGGGAACAAGAAACTGGATACCTCAAGTCACACTGTTGGTTTTGCTATATTTTCTACGTTCCTGTTGCTAAAATAAATTCTAAATAAATTCTTCTTATAGATTAAAAAGTCCTGAATCTCTAATCATCAAGATAATTTTCACGTGGATAATCTATCGGATAATCGCAGAGATAATCTGCTGGATAATCACATGGATAATCTACTGGACAATCACATGGATAATATATCGGATAATTACAGAGATAATCTATCGGATAATCACGTGGATAATATATAGGATAATCACATAGATAATCTATCGGATAATCACATGGATAATCTATAGGATAATCACATGGATAATCCCAAAGGTAAACTACTGGATAACCATATGGATAATATACTGGACCGTGTAGTTTTGTGTTGCAAAGCTCTCAATGACAACAACGTCAGTAAATGACAAGTTTTTTTTTTGTATACTAAGCCAAACAATAATAACTTATTTCCGTAGTTATAAACTCTTCCACTTATTGATTACCGATAACAGATAAGTCCTGTAAGAAAGTGACGTAGGAAATGCTTTTGAAATTTTACAACGCCAACATATTGGGCTGAGTATTGAAAAGTCTGGGGTTCAAGACCTGATGTCACCGAACTAGCTCAGCATATTTAGCTCTAGGCGCGTTATAAAGGCAACAGTCAATACTGTTTACATGACTCAAGAAGCTAAGAAAGCTTTGTAGCGGCGGGTGCTGCTGGATTTCTACCTTCCCTTTAGTGACCTGGCCGATTAGCCTACATATGTATAAGGTGCCGTTCAGGTCGAAAATTCCAGTTCCTTTCTGAGACTCAAACATTAAGACATTTATGTAAAAAAATTAATAAATAAACGTTGGTGTGTTTAATAGCCCATTAAAATGTTTTATCTAACACAGTTATTCAAGGGTCGTTCTTCTGTGGGAACCCAATTTTGCTGGTGTTTACAGATTTTTCGTTTCATACTTGGTTGGGATATACGTTCTGGTTTACCTTGTGTTATATCATTCCTCATTTTGTAGTTGCCATAGTAACATTACAGTATAGAGTACGTTGAACTTTTATACATAGAGTGCGCTGCAAACATAAATAAAATGATAATTGTTGTCGTTTTCTTTGTGCAAAGCCACCAAAAATTATCTGTACTCTATTCACCGCGGGAATTGAACCCCATATTCTTGCGTTGTAAGTTCATAAACTTACAGTTCACCCACGAAGGGGACATAAGATAATAATTGATAGTATACGATGTTAAAAAAATCTTAACCCTAGCTTAAACTTATTGTGACATAAAACTGATAAATAGTATAAATAGCGTTTCAACCACTGAAGAGTACTGGTATTGGGCGAACGGCCTCGTCGGCACTGAATATATCGGATATACGCTCTTCTTTACTTGCACTCATTGAGATATTCTTATAATTACGGAAACTGAACTCTACAGCGTCGTAACTGAGAAACAATGCAGAATAAGTCCCGTGTCTGCTCGAATTACAGGTTCGATCTCGACTTCTTGACAGTGTGATACCTAGAGCTGAAGGAAATACACTAAGGTAGTACTAACCCTTAAAACTGGGCAAACTTACTTGCTGAGGAAATACTGTTGAACACTTACAACTTTCAAGTTAGGCACAAAATTAAAGTATGACGTCACAGTATCTGAAAATACACTTCCAGTCATATATGTTATATGTATAATTAATGTGGCACGTATAACGAAATATATAACATAAACTGTTTTAACATCATAACTTTACTTAGGAATGATAAAAACGTGTAAAAGTTGATACACATGCTCTTTGTGAACATCGTCATAGCTTGAATTAAAAAATGCAAATTTTCCGCAACGTTAACGAGATATGGGCAATTGATTTTAATTAATGCCTTCGTTAGTGGTAATTAGACTTATAACAAGACAACTGGTAAAACAATTCAAGCTATGAACGAGTGCAATATCAATAAGTGTACTAAATTTCATGCTGATATTGGCTTTAATGGTGAAGTAGACACGGAATGAAAACAAACTAGACTTATTTTTTAAATCACTTACTACAGGGTTAATTAGTAAAGATTTTAAGATTAAAATTAATCATTTATATAGAAGAGAAGTTAAACTTATGAGTTAGGCTAAGTTCGAAAAATGTGATTTTTGAAATATTGGGGGCGCTCTTTAAGGGTCAGTGATACATTAAAAATACTATTCACACTAAATACCCACGTTAAGCTATTTGTCGCTCGTAAAATTCGTAAACTTTATGCAACAAATGTTAGGCCTAAGAACTTCAAATATCTATGACTAAACTATTTAGGCTAGAAATAACTTTATGCAACAAATGTTAGGCCTAAGAACTTCAAATATCTATGACTAAACATTTAGGCAGAAATAACTTTATGCAACAAATGTTAGGCCTAAGAACTTCAAATATCTACTTGTAAATGATTTTGGCAAGAAATACGAGGGAAAAATGGAAATAAGAACATGCACGTGTTTGTTCAAATAAGGTCTCTTCCTAAAGGCCTAAAACATGGATCAACGCTCTAATAATATTTGATTACGGGACTGAAAAAAAAGTAAGAAAAAATGAGTTACTCTTAGCTTTTGAATTATATTTCAGAAATATTTATGTAGGACTAACCTCTACCCCTGCTCAAAAATGAGATTTCACACCGGTCTCTCATGCCCTCATTTTGACTTCGAGATTACAGGTTAGATGGACCAAAGAAAAACACAGAGAACGTGCACCAACAACTCCAACTTCTGAACAAGCAAACATTATGGTAGTACACAGTATGAATGCTAAGCCTTATCTTTACGTTTTATCTCTGCCATCTTAATGTTTTCATCAAAGAAAACTAGGCCTAGCTAAGATGTATACCATGCAACTTGATAGATTGGAAAAGCTACGAACCGTAAAATTATGCTTTATATATAAACTGATATAATCAGTACTACACGCTTGTCTTCTCCTTTCACAATCTGCCACACCCTCTTGGGAATGATAAACAATACCCTTATATGTGTCAGTGGCTATCCTATACGGAAAGACCTTATTAACCACAGTCTCCTTTTATTTCCTACATCTGAACTACACCCCCCCCCTGAATTTTTTTCACTCCTACCTCCTCACCTCAAATGCTATGGCTTTCCTCACCGTAGCACACCATACCCGGAAGTAGGTGATACGAGTATCTATACTTAAAAAGAGTTCTTAATTGGATGTGATGTAAATTTCAACCAATGAACCATGACGATAAAAGTTGAAATGTTTATTATTGGTCTGATGAGAGCAGGAACAGCTATGGTCTGTGGGAATAATGCGAATAATAGTAATGCATGTGTGTAATATTATAAAACATGGTTATTCTAATTGCAAACATAACGAACACAAAGCTCTCAAACACCAGAATATCTGTTCCAACTACAAACATAATTAACACGATACTTCTAAGAAACCAGAAGATCTGTTCCAACTACAAACATAATGAACACAAACCTTCTAAAAACCAGAAGATCTGTTCCAACTACAAACATAACGAACACGATACTTCTAAGAAACCAAAAGATCTGTTCCAACTACAAACATAACGAACACGATACTTCTAAGAAACCAGAAGATCTGTTCCAACTACAAACATAACGAACACGGTACTTCTAAAAAACCAGAAGATCTGTTCCAACTACAAACATAACGAACACAAACCTTCTCAGAAATCAGAAGATCTATTCCAACTACAAACATAACGAACACGATACTTCTAAGAAATCAGAGATAAACCAGAAGCTTTCAGAGATTAAAAATGTTTTCTTCATTTCACTCCCGAAAATTGTTAAAAGAAAAACGAGGAATAAAATTATCCCTGGTTTATCTTTCATAACCTATAATAATTTGTAGTTTATACTGAAGAAGCTAGAAGCGTCCCTGGTTTATCTTTCATAACCTATAATAATTTGTAGTTTATACTGAAGAAGCTAGAAGCGTCCCTGGTTTA